GGTAGGGGGTAGAGAGGGTAGAGAGGGTAGAGAGGGTAGAGAGGGTAGAGAGGGTAGAGAGGGTAGAGAGGGTAGAGAGGGTAGAGAGGGTAGAGAGGATAGCTAGATCTATTTCATGGTATATTTCCTTTAAAAATCGATTCCTCAAATAATAATCAAATCATATTCAGCTCAATGAGATAAAGAAATAAAGGAAACGCGCAGTGAATATGATAAAAGTACGAGCGCGTGCTCTCCCTGTCCCGCTTGTAAACATGGGAGCACGCTTTCAAAACTCTCTTTTTATTCAACTCTTTGTTTAACTTTTATTGGTTTAATATGAACTTGGTCGGTAATCTTTTTATTCCCTGACACCTACCCTACCCTACCCAATAAAACAATAACGAAATCTAAAACATTATCATAAATATAATCCTAACCCCTCCTAAGCTTTATTTACTCCTACCATTTCTTTACACGCCTAAATACGGTAATGTTACATCGTCTATACGCAATATCCCCCCTACTGAACTTCCAACCTACTAACTTTCCGACCTACTGCAATATCGGACCTACACAAGCTGTTTATTTTTGTATTATTTGAGGGTTAGGTTAGGTTAAGACAATTTCTGGGCCGAGTGCTGCGGCTAGGACAGGCTAGGGGGCCGAGCGCCGCGGCTAGGACAGGCTAGGGGGCCGGGCGCTGCGCCCACATGTCCATATCGCAGCTGTAAAACCACGTGCTAGTAGGTCGGATGTGTTGTATAGCGGATTTGGCGTGGGTCAGAAGTGGAGTATAGCGGATATGTGTAGGTCGAAAAATACACCACCCTAGACCCCTCAACTTTACATACTTCTTCACCTCGACCTGAGCTCTATATACTCCTCCAAGGCCCTCATGAGCTCTTTATACTCCATTGCCATCATGAGCTCTATATACTCCAAGCCCCTCATGAACTATATACTCTTATTGACCTCCATAAGTTTTACTATACTTCTGACCCTTTCGTAGCTCTATGAACTCCTAGATCTTCCTGAGCTTAATTTACTCCTAGACCTTCCTCACCATTCTAAACCACATAACTTTGTTTAATGTATAATGTACATACTTTTGATGTACATTGAACCTTGACGTAATTATAACAAACCCTTCTAAAGTTTTAATTATAAAGTAAAAAAATCATGCAACAATTTTATGACATATTTTAAAAATGGAACAGTGATCAGCTGTCAACATTTAATAATAACCTATTTTTAGAACAAAAGAAAGTTTTTTATCTTCTTTCCACCTTTTTACCTTCGTTTCAGACTTTAAATCCACCCTTTTCTTTTCCTTCTTTCCTCATTATCGTTCTCTGCATTTTAACACTGTCATGCAGGCCCAACCCTACTCTCCATATATTTACTTCTGTTCGAACCATATTAGATCATCCCTCCACAGTCCACACGTACCAACCAAACAAATAACTTTTTTATCCAATCTGAGCTTAGCTCCGGGTCTGTATTAAAACTGAAAGGGTTACATCAATGGACCTATCCTTATTCTGAGCTATTGAACGCATACTGGTTACAGTATGTTGTAAACAGAAAGGTTCTAAGAACGAAACGAAATAATCAAAGTTTCAAAACTTGATTTATGTATGTGAGTTTCCAATCTACATGTAACTAGGTTGGTTTCCACACCAGACATAAAGAAAACATATCCCTGAAAGAGTATTGTAAAGAAGGGCAGCTGCTCCAGCTACGTCAGAGATGGGATCCTGAGCTCCCTGATCCAACCCAACCTTTGTCCAGGATTAGTCAACTTGTTGCGTATTTCGAATTGTTGATTTGGAACCATTGGTCTTATGGGGTGGGGCACAACCATTCCCCCTCCCAGCCACCCCATGCCTAAGTCTATTGATAACTATTCTCATAAATATATATATATATTCAACATGAGTACAGATATGCGTAAACGCAATTTAATTTCATATTTCTCCACATGCTTCTCCCTTCTTCCAGAATGTCAAAGTGGTTGAGATAAAGGTGCTTATATAGCAATAGAATTTTCATTTTCTGTTAAATATTGTATTTCTGACATTTTACATTTAGCACAAAGAGATTTATTTTAGCTTAGAGAAACCCTGGTTCATATATTGATACAGAAACCTTGGTTCAGATATTGATACACAAACCTTGGTTCAGATATTGATACAGAAACCTTGGTTCAGATATTGATACACAAACCTTGGTTTGATTATTGATACAGAAACCTTGGTTCGGATATTGATACAGAAACCTTGGTTCAGATATTGATACACAAACCTTGGTTCAGATATTGATACAGAAACCTTGGTTCAGATATTGAAACAGAAACCCTGGTTCAGATATTGAAACACAAACCTTGGTTTGATTATTGATACAGAATCTTGGTTCGGATATTGATACAGACACCTTGGTTTAGATATTAATACAGAAACCTTGGTTCAGATATTGATACAGAAACCTTGGTTCAGATATTGATACAGGAACATTGCCACTATGCTATGTTTGAATAACAAGACGGCCAGTGTATGTATCAGAGGAGGTAATCGGAACCTAAACCGCTTTCTAGGTTTATACTCGTATGTACCAGGAGTCAGAAGAGCCCTGATTTTTCTCCCAGGTTCTCTTTGAACAATGCACTTAAAAGGACTATAGGTAGGATATTTATTTTTTTTGTATCTGAAGTAACATGGAACCTAAATCCAGAAGTCGGCAAGTATTTCAGTCCAGAATCTTGAAATAGAAGAATTATGAATCTTGGACTAGGGTTCTCTTATGTCATAAACGGTAAGGTAATGTATAGTCTAGGTTGAGCGGTATCTTATTTATCTAAGGATCAGTGTGTTGGCTAAAACAACAAATTTAGAGGAAAAGGGCCCGACTGCGCTAGTGCAATTATGTTGAACCAGGGGTTTGCCTGTAGTAGTAACGGAGTTTTTTAAAACCTGGTTTAGAAATGAGAATACTTACTGTGGGATTATACCGTCTTGGATATTTAGAATAATTAAACGCAACCCTGTTGTCTTTGAGTATAAAAGGATTTGGAATAATTTTCTAATTATACTGGGAAATCTACGCTCTTGTATACCTGTCTATCTATCTGACGGCTTTATTTTATTGTCTGAACAATTACTGTCGGAACATAGGTCTAGGCACGTAGAGTCTAGACTTTTATTTCTTTTTTTAACCTCAAAATAACTTCAATATATATTCTTCTACATGTTTATGCTTTTTTAGCTGGAACTCTTTTAATTAATAAAATTTTTCTCCTGATCTGATTAAATACGCTCTGGTTAAAGGGACCGTAAGCGTAATTAGAAGTGATCTTCCACTAGAAAATAAAACATCCCAGATTCACAACGGTACCTTTTAAACCTTTAACTGATTATCGAGGACTGAGAAATCTTTGTTTATTTCTATTAAATGTTGTGTAAACACGGTTATAAAAATTTCGAATGTTCTGGGATATTAAATAACAATATTCCTGAAATAGAAAACAGCTTGCAAATAACAAGATAAGGAAAAGTCTTTCATCCTTGATCAGCCAAAGGTTTATTGGGTACTCTTGGGAATCGGGGATCCCTCTCTTTAAGTTGAAGGTTACTTAAAATTACTCTTACAGTCCCTTTAAGTAAAATGAAAAAAATTGTTCAATAGAAAACTAGATCATATCAACAATTACAAAATTTATTAAAATAATTACAATTACTTTTGGAAAAAAGTTTTTTTGTGGATTGCATGGATTTGATTGAAATTTAATTACAACTTACGGCACTGAATTCTTCAATTCTTAAATACACAGATGATAATACTTTTGCCAGATTACAGTGGGGGAATACTTAAAAGTACCCCACCTCTCCCCCCCCCCACAAATTTCGCATATAGACATGCTGGATTCTTTACTTTCTTTCTCTGAACCACAATGAAGCTACCTCTCAAGTTTAAAATTTAAAATCCTTGGTTCTGAAACTAGAACTAAGCCAATCAGAGGACAATGCACAAACCTCACCATCAATCCAACCCATTTTCCAACCTTCTTCGAGGGGGTTTGGTTACAGTGTACTACACTTCTCATGGAAAGGTGAGATGACATTCTTCTTCATTCATCGTAATTCTTGAAAACTCTCAGAAGAAATTCACAAATCTGAGCAAATCTGATAAAAATGGGTTAGACTTACAAGCTTAATCCCATATCTATTCTTAGTGCAAGTCCTAGAAATTATCCTAGTCCTATAGTGCTTGGACCTTTTCATGGTACTAGTCCTGTCATTTCATATTAATACAAACAATATTATCGCTCTAGTTTTAGTCCTATTCAAAGTCACTCTACGTCAAAATCCTTGAAAAAAGTCCTAACGATGGTCAGTTTTAATATTTGTTTCTAGTCCTTCAAGAAAGTTAATGTCTTGTCCTAGTTCTATTTTGAGTTCAAAAAATCCTTCCTTAACAATATTAGTTGTCTCCTTAGTCCTAACCTTTCACCTGGTGTTTAACCTAAACCTTTCTGACTATATTCAGAACCTGCATGAACAATATTTAAACTGAGATATGGATCAATGGGCCTGAAGAAATAATTAAAATGCTTTTTATAAACTAGGGTTGAACCAAAAATAGAACTCGATTAACCTTTACACAAAGAAGATCCTGAAAGAGTTTTCAACTAAAATATCAAATTTTAAAGGAAAGAAAACACACACGCTTGAGTCATACTACCTGGCTATGTTTGTACGCTATACAATAAGTAGTGGGCATTGTGTTGCTTCAATGATACGTATACAACGATACAACAATGCAATGAATTGAAGAAATTAATCAATATCAAATTCTTGATTTATTGTCCCAAAACCCGGGTTTTCTAGACTGTGTTTGATTTTTAAACCAAACCAAACCAAACTATTATCTAGAACAAAATGAAGGTTTCCATAAAAATGATCTAAGATTCTGAAGATTTCTCTGCTCTTGAGATATATAAACATGAACCTGTTCCTACCCCTGGAAAGACTGTTCAGTCATGAAGTTTCAGTTCCTGCTCGCGTTGTTATTTACTCTACTAAAGTTATCCAGCTTGAATCCAACTCCTACAAGTCGAAAACCTGATTTGAGGTAAACTAACCGTTCTTCAGAACTAGTCAGTAAAAGTGTTAAAAGAGTATGGAAGTATATTTTTTTCAAAAAAATGAATTAAATATATAATGATCAAATATAAAACTTTTCATCAAATAATCTTGATAAGATTATAATGCTCAAAATTATAAAAATGATATAACTGAATATCCAAGATATAACAGTACTAATTATCCAAGTTTTAACAATAGTCAGTACTAACTCAATATAACAGTACTTAGTATCCAAGATATAACGGTATGCAGCATTTAAGATATAACAGTACTCAGTATTTAATATATAACAGTATTCAGTATCCAAGATGTAACAGAATTCAGTATCCAAGATATGTACTTAGTATGAAAGGTATAACAGTATTCAGTATTCAAGATAAAACAGTACTCAGTATCCAAAATATAACAGTACTCAGTATCCAAGTTATAACAGTACTCAGTATCCAAGATATAACAGTACTCAATATCCAAGTTATAACAGTACTCAGTATCCGAGATATAACAGTCCTCAGCATCCAAGATGTAACAGTATTCAGTATCCAACACATAACAGTACTTAGTATCCAAGATATAACGGTATTCAGTATTCAAGATAAAACAGTACTTAGTATTCAATGTATAACATTATTCTGAATCTAAGGTATACCAGTATTCAGTATTCACATTCCTTGCACATGTGATCTAGATAAAAGATATTCCCCCAGAATAATTAATAATTTTTTACATTTATAAACAATACAAGAATCAAAATTTAACGTTCTTTGATATATTTATAATGATCTTATTTTTGCAGCGTGATAATTCACTTTCATACCGGGGACTCCGCCGAGCTAGGTGATACAAAGGTAATATATTAATATCAATTAGAAAAATATCAAAATAAACGATTTTGTTGAAGGAGGCCTAGAATGGATGCTGTTGGACCTGAATCTTGAAGCTTTTAACAATTGGAAATAATTGAAAAATAAATATTTTTGTGTTCAAAGTTCTAGAACTAAATTATTTCAGATAGGAGTTTTTTTTTTGAGAGATTATAAAATACAGAATTTTAATTGCAAATTTTTTTAGAAGATTTGACAAAAAGAAAAGTAAGTTCGACAAAATTAAGACTAATAATAATGATCTAAAAAGTTGAAGTTTAAATATAAATTTTCTTCATCCTTCATAATTACAAAGCAAAATCATCTTGTGACGACATATATTCTATCTAGGAGGAAAATAAGATCGCGTTCAATCCTTCTTCATAAAATACCCCATATCCTCTGTCCCTACTCCCCCTTAACATTCCTGATGTATACCTCCCCTACGTACCCATCAATTCTCATTCCTAACTCATTCATACCCAATCCAACCCCGCCTGGAATCCAAGATATTGCCTAAAATGATCTGGAAGTATGTCAAAACTGCGCAGAGTTGGAGGATAGGACGTGCCACGCTGTCGTAAAAATATCAACGGAGAGAATAATTTGACGTAAAATTTTACTTTCTCTCACTTCTTTCCTTCATGTTTTCTCTCACTTCTTTCCTTCATGTTTTCTCTCACTTCTTTCCTTCTTGTTTTCTCTC